TTTGGTTTATCGTTTTGGACATAGGAAGGGATTCAGCTGCAAAGAAGAACAAAGACATTTATTTAATGCTTAAAACAGATTGTGTTTGGCTCAGCTCTGTTTAACTCAAACAGAGTGTTTTGGCTGGAGGTCTGGGATGCGATGCATCCAACAGCATCCTGATAGTGCATATCCTTTACAGAATCACTTGCCTTTGGTATCTAACACTGTATGAATCAGCCAGCAGTGCATCTTTCAAATGTTATTCATAGCTGTTTTTGTGTCTTGATGGAAAATGACACTTTATAACCATTTCAATATGAATTTATTGAAGAAATCTTATGTTTTCATTGTTTTCTTGGTTTTCTTCCCTTTTCTGCCACTGAATGCAGTTCAGTGAATTATTGTACTTGTTTTTCACCACATCTTTATTTTTTGTTTCTTGATGTGGTGTTTTTTTATTGCTTTGTTTGTATTGCCATTTTGCCACATTTAGAGTCTTCCTTAAGGGAAGTGTAAATGAAAATGAAAAAATACAGGAAAACACCATTTGTTGCTTCACACTGATGAACCAGAAGAAGAGAAGTAAGAGAAAAAGGAAACTGTTCTTAAATATATATATATATTATTATAAGAAAGCACCATTAAAAAAAGTTGTTTCAGATTCACTTCTTGTAGTGGAAAATCTTTACTTTTTAGGCTGATCTAGCTAAGAAAACTTATTACCAATCATCAAGTCTTTTCTTTTTCCTCTCCCTCCCTTTCTTCCCCTGCTTGATATTGTGAGTCATGGAGAAGAATCACAGCAGAAGTTGGATGCAAAGGGTCACTGGATGTGATCTGTTCCTCTCCTCTGCTCATGGCTAAAATCAGAGTTGGATCAGGTTGCTCAGGCTCACGTTTTGAGTACCTCAGAAAGATGGAGAGTCTGTAACCACCTTGGGCAGCCTGTCCTAGTGTTTGGCCATCATTGTGGTGAAAAATGTTTTCCTTGTATTGAAGGAAGTAATTTATCTTTGTCCTGAAGACTTTAAAATTTGTATTTCAGATTTAGGTATTCTAAAGCTAGTAATAATCAGTGTAGATCATCAATGCTCTGCTTGCTTGTAGGCAAGCAAGGTGGGAGTAGTGAGGAGAGGAGTACAGCAAACAACTCTACAGCCTGTAGAGTTGCAGGCAGCAGAGGGATGTTTCCTCAAGTGCTGTTTCCAGCTACGTACATGAGAGGTGAAAACAACTGTGTGAGCTGCCATGCTGGGTCTGATACAACATGCTTTTAAGCTGGCCATGAGCAAATTTAAGCTAATGCTACATATATAGATTATTAGGTAGGACAGATAAAAATTAGTTAAGAGAATGTTTGTGGTGAGGTCATAGAAGATGTTACTGTAGATTATAAGGCAATAGAGATCAATAGCTATTATTTAAGTTATTTTTAAGCCTATATTCTTTTGTGACAGACTTTCTCATACTATGTCATTTTTAGGATTTGGCCTCCAAAAGTGTAACTTTACTTACTGCGTTGTCAAAGCATAGGGGAGGCTATTCCTAATGGTGGAATTCTTTCCAAGGGCTCCTTTTTTGCCAAGCAGAAAAATCCTACTCTTGTCTTACCCCTTACCACATCTTATCTGTGTTCTGTTGTTGTTTTACTTTTCCTTCCTTCCTTTCTTCTTTCCTTCCTTCCTACCTTCCTTCCTTCCCTCCTTTCATCTGACCATCTGTTCATCCTTACTTATACTTATTTACAATATTATAAATACATTGAAATTCAGTGGCCCGAGACCAAAGTTTTAATCATGTAATGGACTTTAGGGTAAAATTTGCCCTTTTATTTTCAATCTGAGGGTTAGGGTGTGGTCAGTATATAAACAGATGCTTAGTGTGCTTAATACCTGTTAAAATATTTGCGTGCAATGACTGCTTGCATAGAAAAAAGAGTCTAAGCAGAAACATCCAAAGAACCTATTAGAGGTTAAAAATGGGACTTTGTCAGAATTCAAGTGCTTAAGAGCAAGGAGCAATTCCAAAAACCCATACTTCAATGAAAATTTTAACCTGGAAATGTGTAATATTTGCTTGGGGGCAGTGTATTAGACCACAACATTTCCTGTGCATCTAAACCACAACTCCTTGGTGTATGTGTGCTAGCTGGGGGTGTGCTGGTGCCTGACTTCCAGCTGTGCTCTGTGTTACTCAGGTTGCTTTCCTGGTCTTCTGTCGTGAACCCCTCAGATTTCCTCCTGCTCAGGGGCTCATTTTTAATTACTCTGTAAGAAAGTGGACAGGCTCCCATTGGAGAAGTGATCTGAAGAATTGTGAAAATGTAGGTCCAAATCTCATCTTGCCAAGGTGGAAGCTGGAAGGTACTGGGGTCTGCTATTGCTATCACTGTTTGTTTCCACGGCCTGCAGATCTTTCTGAGAAGCCTGAGGCATGCTCTTTTAGATGGTCCTCTGTAGAAGAAGGTCTCAGATCCAGGCAGACCAAGGAGTTTGATGGGTAGCAGCACTCTGTTGGGCTTCAAATCTGGAGTCACATCATTGTGTGGGTTTCTGTGAATTTCTTCTCTGAGGCCCCCTCTTCTTGTGTCTTTGTTGAGTCTCCCAGACCCCACAGGATCAGCTGATTCATTTTTAGATGTATATGTCCTAGATCTTACCCTGGATTCTCAGCCAGCATCAGCTGGCTAATGCTTGCAACCATTAGACCTGTAAGCCTAGCCCAAAGCCTATAGCCCAGTACAGCTCTGTATGCAGGCCTGGAGTCTGTGCTGGCAGGGGCCATCTGTAGTAGCCATGGTTTGCTGCCCTGGATAGGCTGCAGAGGGGATGCTATCATTGGGTTGAGTAAGTAGCGGTGCTGAAGAATGAAGCAAGAAACCTTTTCCCCAATACAGAAAGGAGAAGGAATGTTGTTTCTAATGTCAGCTTGTCCTGGCTTTCTTGAGCTCGTCTGCACTGAAGATAAACAGATACAGACAAGTTCTTCACTGCTGCTCTTTTGAGGAACCCTTTCACCCTGCTTTTTCTTTCTTCTGGCACGTCACTTACTTTCCCTTCCTGCAAACATAACCCTGTTCATGCTGAGTCTGCTAGACAAAGTGGATTGAAAGAAGTCAGAGGGTTTGAAAGCCTAGCTAGCACAAAATTACATAAGTGTAAGGAGAAGAGGCTGGATTTGATATACTGAAAATTTCCTTTGTGTATCTTAAAGTGTGGCTACTGCAAAGTGCATCTATAATGTATTTCAGCCCAGTGTTAAAGATTTTCAATGCTTGGGGCCAAATCAGCAACGTACTGTCTTATCCACAAATATATGAACAGATATAGCCCGGTTTATCAAAGCAGTTCTACAAATGGTTGAGTTGGATTCAGTGAAGTAAAAGGTAGCATGTTCTTGAAAACTTTGAAGTATATATGATATATATGCCATTTCACTTAGAACATATGTAAGTACTATAATGCCAGCTTTATCAAAAGAGGTTAATGAGCTCCCAGCTCTGAGAGGACGTTTGCAAAGATCCAGCTTTGCAGAAGGCAGTTCTCCAATTAAGATGTCTGGAAAGGAAGTATCTCAGTTGATACATGACCACAGCCTTCAGTTATGTAAAAGGAAGCTGCAGAAGACTAGAGTGGGGCCCATAATGGATGGGGCAAGAAGCAGCAGGCTTATTCTGAGGCAGTTAGGTAGGGTAGGCATTTCACATCTTCATAATTGTGAGGGTAAATTAGCCTTGTGTGGTTTACTTACAGAGGTTATGAAATCCTCTTGTCACCAGGAGGTCTTAGAACAGATGAGACAAACATAATTCACAGAGGTGAATAGGTTGACCTGATCCTGCCTTAGGGCAGGGAATGGACTAGAGACCTCTTGAGAACTCCTCAAGCTTGCTTTTGATCATTATATAAAAGAAATGCTCATGATACTTTTAGTGAGTACTTACACTGAATGGGAATCAGCAGTGAGCCACTATTTTTGTATGTAACTTCACAACACCTTTGCTCAGAATAAGAGCTTTATTCTGTAGACACTGATTCAGAGAAAATGTGATGGCACACTGAAATTGTTTTTGACTGTATTAATTCCACAGATCATCATACATACTTATATGTGCTTTGGGAACTTCGTATTCCCTTCATCAACGAAACATAGAATTTTGAATAACATATGCTTAACAGTTTGGGTAACAGGGTAGAAAATCTATTGAATTGGGGTGATAGCTTTCAGTGGAATATCGTTAGTGGAATCCTACTAAGTTTCAGTTCTGAGAAGAGTAGATTAACTGCTCTTAAATATTTAAATACTTTACCCTTACATTTAGCTTCCTACAAAAACGTCAATGTAAGGAACAAGTTGGGTACCACTTAAGCTAAGTTTCTTTTATTGCCCTTCAAATGCAAAGGCTTTGTGTTTGAAAATATGTGTAGACAAATAGACCTTACTTTGCATAAAGGCAGGGGAAAGGCTTGAGTGATGGAGAACCAGCATCTCAAGATTTAATCCATGTTTTCTTCTGCTTTATTTTAAGTTTCAGCTCTGTTGTGCTTGATGATTTTGTGTTGAAAGAGGAAAAATTGGCAGCTATGGCTGCATTTCTGAGAAGAGGTGCAAGAACTATTGTGTGTTCATACCCATTCAAATACTTAGCTATGCTGCTGAGGCAGAACAAAGTAGCTAGAAAATAGCCTCAGCCATCCTCTGTCGTATATATGAGGACATTGCTGAATGCTTTATTATATACAAAGAAAGAGAGAAATACTGGAGTCGTATAATTCAAAATGTTTTCTTTACCTCCTGGACATAGGTGGTGTTTGTATATCTCACTTTAACTCTGTAGACACAGCTAAGTACCTACCCCTATTATTTTCAGTAAAAGATGGATTTGGCCTAACTGCTTTCAGAGGTCTGAACCTGAGCTGAGCTACTGCTTCAGAATAAAAGAGTTTCATTTGATGCTTCCTAGCCAACAAAATGCTAGTTTGGTAGTGATTATTTTATTTGTTTATTGTGTTTTTCAGAGCCTATGCACAAAGAAACTCTTCTCCATCTTGCAATGAAATTGGGCTTGGTTAAACTTTCTGAGTTCTTAGTGGGTCAGCCTGGAGGGATATTGGCATTAGCACTACCTAATGAGGATGGAGCAACACCATTAGACTTGGCTGAGCAAAACGGGCACTCCAAATTAGTTGAAGTCTTCTCAAAGTAAGTATAACAATTTGCAATTTCACAGAATCACAGAGGTTGGAAGGGACCTTAAGAGATCATCAAATCCAAGTCACTTGCTGAAGCAGGTACCCTTCAATAGGTTGCACAGGAATCACAGAATCACAGAATCACCCGGGTTGGAAGGGACCTCAAGGATCATGTAGTTCCAACCCCCCTGCCTAGCAGGGCCACCAAACGTACACATTCAGATCAGGTTGCCCAGGACCCCGTCCAACCTGGCCTTGAACACGTCCGAGGACGGGGCATCCACAACCTCCCTGGGCAACCCGTTCCAGGGCCTAACCACTCTCCTTGTAAAGAACTTCCCCCTAACATCCAATCTAAATCTTCCCTCCTTCAACTTGGATCCATTTCCCCTAGTCCTGCTGTTGTCAGCCCTTTTGAAGAGTTTACTCCCCTCCTGGGTGTAGGTTCCCTTCAGGTATTGATAGGCTGCAATGAGGTCACCCCGCAGCCTTCTCTTCTCCAGGCTGAACAAGCCCAATTCCCTCAGCCTGTCCTCATAGGGGAGGTGCTCCAGCCCCCTGATCATCTTAGTCGCCCTCCTCTGGACCCTTTCCAAGATCTCTATGTCTTTCTTGTACTGAGGGCTCCACACCTGGACACAGTACTCCAGATGGGGCCTCACAAGAGCCGAGTAGAGAGGGACGATCACCTCCCTGTCCCTGCTGACCACCCCTCTCCTGATGGAGCCCAGGATCCCATTTGCCTTCCGAGCTGCCAGAGCGCACTGCTGGCTCATGTTAAGTCTCTCGTCCATCAGGACCCCCAGGTCCTTCTCTGCCGAGCTGCTCTCAAGGACCACTCCTCCCAGCCTGTACGGGTGCCTGGAGTTCTTCTGGCCCAAATGCAAAACCTTGCACTTTGCCGTGTTGAACCTCATTAGGTTCACCCGAGCCCAGCCCTCCAGCCTGTCGAGGTCCCTCTGAAGGAATCCAGATGCCTTGAATATCTCCATGAAAGGAGACTCCACAGCCTCTCTGGACAACGTGCTCCAGCACTCCACCCTTACCATAAAGATGTTCTTCCTCATGTTATAGGGAACTGTGTATGTTCAAGTTTTAGGCCATTTCTCTGTGTCATATTATTACGCATCTCTGAAGAGCCTGGCCTCATCCGTTTGCCTCCCACTGCCCTTTCGATATTTATAAACATTAATCAGATCCCCCTGCAGTCTTCTTTTCTCCAGTCTGAACAGACCCGTATTACTCATTTGGGAGGTACTCCATGCCCTAAATCATCTTTGTGGCCCTCTGCTAGACTCCTTCTAGGAGAGCCCTGTCTTTTTTGAACTAGGGAGCCCAGAACTGGACACAGTATTCTAAATGTGGTCTCACCAGGCCGGAATAGAGAGGGAGGACCTCGACCTGCTAGCTGTGCTCTTTATAATGCACCCCAGGATACCACAGGCCTTCTTGGCCACAAGGGCACATTGCTGGCTCATGGCCAGCCTGTTGTCCGTCAGGACCCCAGGTCCTTCTCCGCAGAGTTCATCTCCAGCAGGTCATCCCCTAACCTGTACTGATGCATGCAGTTATTCCTCCCCAGGTGCAAGACTTCACACTTGCTCTTGTTATGCTCCTCATCTCTCATCTCTTAAGAAATATAAGTACTGTTTTTCTCAAAAGTCTTGCCAATTTTGTGTTAGTTTCTGTTGCTTTTTGTCGTTTATTTTAAATGGTAAAATTTTATTTACAAGTAAAGCAAGTTTTTGATGTATATCCTTTTGCACATTTGCAAGTGCATTAATAGCGTTAGTATCAAAATATACACCTGTGTGATTTTAAACCACTGTCATCATCCAGTTAGGGATTATTAGTTTTTTCCTTTCAAGCTGACTCATAAATGGCATCTAACATTAAAGTACAGCTGGAAGACTTTTTATTCTAGCATTTCATAAACAGATAAAAGGAAATTATTAAGCAACACATATCCATGTTCCTGGGCTTTCTATAGAACAGTTGTCCAGAGGTTGTTGTAAAACTGTTGTCTTTCTGTGAGTGATTCCCACAGTGTGTTTAGAGTTATTTCTTTTACCAGTGTAAAACTAACAAAATGAAGCAATGTACAGAATCATAGAATCATAGAATGGTTTGTGTTGGAAGGAACCTTTAAGATCACCTAGTTCCAACACCTGGTGTAAGCAGGGACACCTCCCACCATTCCAGGTTGCTCCATTCAGCCTGACCTTGAGTGTTTCCAGGGATGGGGCACCCACAGCCTTGCTGGGCAACCTGTTCCAGTGTCTCACTGACAGTAAGGAATTTCTTCCTAATATCTAGGCTACATCTTCCCTCTTCCAGTTTAGAGCCATTTCCCCTCATCCTATCGCTATCTGTCCTTATAAAAGTGCCTTCCCAGCTTTCCTGTGGGCCCCTTCAGGTCTTGGCAGGCCACTACGCTGTCCTCCCAGAGCCTTCTCCTCTTTAGGCTGAATAGCCCCAACTCTCTCAGCCTGTCCTTTTAGGGGAGGTGCTGCAGCCCTTTGATAATCTTTGTGGCTCTCCTCTGGACCTGCTCCAGCAGCTCCATGTCCTTCTTGTATTGGGGGCTCCAGAATGATTGTACATTATATTCCTTCTTCTGAAAAAAGGACATATTTGCTGAATTTGAGCCTGACATTTTTAAAGAGTGTATCATGAAATATAAAAAATAATAAGAAAGAAAAAAAGAAACATTGGTCTTTTGAGATACCTAGCTCTGTGATAATGTCACAGCTTGTATGCTGACACAGCCAGCTAAGTCAAACAGGAGTCTTTCAAAAGGGAAGCAGAGTCATTCCTTTGTGCTGTCTGAGCTTTGAAAATGCAACTAAATAATAAAGTTCAAGTTCTAAGTAAATTTTAAGAGATGCAAAGCCCTGAGGGGTTTACTGGTAGAGCTCAAACTTTTGAATAACTAGACTGTAGTTGATGACAGGAGGGGGTCCTGGAGGCTGTGAGAGCTGTTTCCACCCTGGTCTGCATGATATGACAGAGGACCATCAGGTACCTCTCTCAGAGTTGTTGCAGCTGACTGCTTACCTGCTGCTTACCTGTAAAGGCATACCTTGAAATGTGCACTGAAAAGCTTGCAGGTACAGAGACATGAATTTTACAAAACTCTTTGTAGAAGAGACTTTGTTACCTGTGTGTGTCTTGAGATGGAATTAGTGAGAGAGAGTTGATGACCAATGCAGCAATGACTGCTTTTGCCAGAGGGCTGCATGGCTGACAAAAGACTAAAGGGCAAGTGCTTTCAGGCAAGTTCCGTCTGCCCTGCATGGACCTTTACAGCTTCATGGTGTGCATGTTCAGTGCCAGGAGCCCTTCTCCCTGTTGATTTTCTCTGCAAATACACAGAAACAGGCCAGAACAAGGCTATATATATATGTTTTTTTTTTTTGAATGTGTATCTTTCAGCCCCAGTTCCATACAGCATAGAGTTAATATTAGAGTTCCGCACATGTAGACTTCAACTTGTCTGAAAACAACCAAAACACTTAACGCACTGGTGGAGTACATCTTGATAGGAATTGTTTGTAACATCCGAACAATGCCATGTTCCCTTGAGACACTTTCTGTTTTTTGTCAGCGGTGGGATAACAAAACCTAGCTGCCAGTCATGTCCTACTGCTATATATGGCAACAGTAACAGGAAGAGGTGCTATTACTAACTTACAGAAATGAGGAGAGGTAGGTATTGTCACTGCTTACTCTTACCAACTTCTTTTACTGGTGACTAACCAGCACTTTTAGGGCAGTCACTGTTTTTTTCCACACTGAGTTGCATTTTAGTTCTGAGAGGAGTTGTTGGTGGGTATTTGTTTGCCCAGCTGTGTTTTGAGTGGATATGTCAGGTTTTCTGCCGTGGACATGCTGGGGTGCTGGCTGGCTGTGCTGCAGGAGGGATTCCATGCTTGTGTGCTCACCCTACCTGCATGCAGAGCATCTACTCTGGCTCAACAAGCATTTTATTCCAGTTTCCAGGGCAGCCACTCGCCTGATGTTGCCAGGGTGGAGATCAGCGAGGGGGCCTGCATGCGCTTTGTGCGCTCGTCAGCAGCTCTGACACTGACGCTGGACCACACGGCCAAGCACTTACTGGAGTCAGATGTGAGGCTCTTCAGGAAGTATTTCTGGAACAGGCCGCTGCTCCATGAGGTAGGAACAGCCTGGCCCAGGGCTGCCACAGGCTGTTGGCAGTCATTCCTTGCTGTTCTCCATGAATAGCCTCTTAGTATGAGCTGCTTCTTTAACTTCTGGTAGTGTAATGAAGGATTACTGTTGTAGGCTTCTATTCAAGTAAATACAGCTCTTTGTGTGTATGGAGCTGGAGAACGAGAGATGTGGAGACCTTTATCAAAGCCTACTTTACACCCCAAGATGTTTCTTGTTCATTATAGACTTTCTGGTGAATATCTTCCCCTGAAATCTCTCTGATTACATTGCCATTCTGCTTGTCCTGATACTTTGAAAGATTTAATTTAGTTCCATTTTTCTTTGTGCTGGTGTAACGCTTGGGAGCTTTTATCAGATACCAAGCCCAGTGTATATATGCAACAAGAAAATACAGACTATGTACTTTTGCTGTAGAAGAGTTTAGTTATGATGATCTGGGTCTTATTTTGTTATAAACACAAATTCTTAAGTAGGAGCGCATTACATTTTTGGATCAAGACTTGAAAGACTGCATGAAATATAGTCTTGTGTATATCTTCTGCATAATCTTGTATATGTACTGCCAGGAGTTTGATTTGTTCCAGTACACTTCAAAATAGAGGTGGAATTTATTGCTCTACTGGATCTTTGAACTTCCTTATAGCAGACCATAAATGTCTATCTAGTTTGTTTTGTCTCAAGACTGCACAAATGCTCACATTGTTATTTTAGGTTTGGCTGAGAAAAAGACATGGACTAAACAGAGGAAACTTGTGCCAGTTAGAGTGTCGTGGAGCACTAAATTTTCACACCAGAAAACCCCAACATAGCTTTTTAGCCCCTGGTTGCAGGTACCTGTTGGCCCCTTGAGTATTCCTTATGTGTCTGAGCAATGAAAAACTTAAAACAAAGAAAGCTGATGGTAAGCTTGAGTCACCCATGCAGGAGATTTGCCTTCACTGGAAACCTTCAGGGGCTCTGTAATTCAAAAAAGTTTAAACTCTCAAGTTTTGTGATTCTGCTGGGCTGTATGGAGAAGGAGATTCTGAAGATGATGAAGACTGTGACATTGCTCATATGGTGAGCAAACTCCCCTAGGCTGACCCTGTGGAGGTAGCAGCATCTGTCAGGGAGGCTACAAGGAGCACTCAAGGATTAGAGAAGGTTGAAAGAGGGAAGCAATGGGAAGGTGAGCTCTGTGGGGTTTGTCTTGTGCCTCCAGCAGAGCTGTACATGGCCAGTGGAAGGGATCAGTTTGCTAGAGAAAGATGTCAGGATTAAAAGAAAAAGGAAAAGAAAAAGAAAAAGAAAAAGAAAAAGAAAAAGAAAAAGAAAAGGAAAAAAAGAGGACAAACCAGGATGATCATCCTAAGTGAGCAGGATAATTTAAATTCGGAAAAATAATTTTGTTGCCAGGCTTAATGATTTCCTGAGGGAAAGTTGACTTCAATAGCTTATTTCTGCCTGCTAACTGCAGGAGTAGGAAAGAGTCCTGCAAACCATCAGACTTATGGCAGCAGAGAAAAATATGACTGAGCCCACCCAGAGGGAGATGTAGGATTTGTAGCCTCATTTTTTTGGGTGCAAAATTCAGCAGTGTCATCCCTGACTTCCTGTTTTGTGGTCTAATTACCGTGCTGTTCTCTGCTGCTCTGTCAGGTGACAGATTCAGTTCTTAATATTCAGCTCTAAGATAGTTCAGTCTGTAAAAGGGAAAGACTATAAGCACTAAAACAGAGATGAACTAACTACATGAAAGGAGGCTCACTCTGCTCCACCTCCATTTCTTACACTCATTGAATGTAATTGCTAAAATCAGGGACTGGACCTGAACCCTTCTTGCCCATGGAGTGATGTCTGCTGTGTGTGCCTGAGCAAGGTGTCAGCCCAGGAAGGAGCAGCTCCTGCAATGAAGCTGGTTGTGCTGGGCCTGTATGTTTCCTACCAGTAAAAATCACTCACTCTGTAGGGGTACCATGTGGCTTCTGGGCCACTCTATGTAGTGCTTTGCTGTCTTTCTCATGGAGAAGGAAGTTATGAACACTGAAGTACCAGTGTTATATCCCTCGTATACTGTAAGCAGAGGATAATTTTCCTCTTCCTCTTGAGAGAGGGAAACTGCTAACGTATCCTGTGGAATCTCTTATCAGTCATTGCAGTATATTACTTACACTATATTTATATATCTGATTTTGTGTCTGAGTTTTAACATAAATGTTGAGGGCATGAAATAAAATTACTATCATCTTCATTTTCTTTAATAGAGTATCAATTCAAACCAACTTGAGCCAGTGGAAGATCCAGAAATGCACTGCAGCACAATGAGCTCTCTAGAAGGTACAGTTTCTTATTCCATAATGTTAAAGTCCCTAAAAGCTCTGGAAAGTTGGCACAAATTCATATACCATCTATTCAGGAAGATCACATTTCATATGACATTAGAGACCTGTAAGTAGGTGACAGTGGAACATACAAGTTAGGCACGATGAGAGATGTGCAAATCTTTACACTCCCTACAAAGCATTGATTTTCCAATACTGAATAGAAATTGTTCTTTAAAAAAATGTTATGGAATGTGTAGTGACTGGAAAGGTCTGAACAAAGTTTTTTGCAAGAGCCAGAAAAATGTCAGTAGATTCCAGGAGAGGGCAGTGTTTAACTGAATCAACGCTGCAGCCTGTGAACTTCAGTGAAGTATATCTAGTTACTGAAGCCAGGGTTAAAAAACAGCAGTGTTTTGTGTGATTAGTTTTGGGATTGAGTCCAGACTTCTTAATGTGGCAAAATTTCTACCTATTTCATTTAGACACTGAAATAAGCGTTAGCATTTTGCCTGCATAAAGAATGCAAAACTATACTTTCCAATTAGAATGCTGTTTAGTTGCTGGAATGCTTCCTTGTGTACCGTAAAGCAAGGATCATTTTACAGATAAAAAGGAAATACAACAAAAATCCATTCTTAAACATCAGAAGTATGACAGCTGGGGTATTTATGTATGACTGTTAGGAATCAGTGAAAGTTTGCTTATGTGGCTGGCATTATACATTGGGATGTAGTGGCTTGCTGAAGTAGCGAGCTCCATCAGAGGCTGTGCCCTGGCTGAGTGGTTGTATTGCATGCAGTCCTGAAATGATACAAGTACCTGTATGAGCTCTTGTCAGGATTAGGCAGGCTAGACCACAGTTCTGGGTAGCATCAGCTAGTAGCTTTCAGTGAGTGGCTGAACTCAATGCAATACAAAGTATGTGTCTCACTTTTACTATAAGGTATACGAATAACTGTGATGACACGCATGACTCTGGATATTCTTCTGAGATCCATACTCCATCCAGCATGATCTTCACACTGCACTTCATAGGTAGCACCAGTTTGGGCAGTGCAACTTTCAGGTGATAATTGGTTCGATGTTTTCACCAAAGGTGAAGGGGATTCTAGTTCATGGAATTGTTTGCGTTAGGGGGGTCCTTTAAATATCATCTCGTCCAACTCCCCTGCAATGAACAGGGGCATCACATCTACGGTGCATCAGAGCCCTTCCTGAATGTTGCCAGAGACAGGACAGCTGCCACCTGTGCGAGCAACCTGTTGTAGTTCCCGGTTGTGAGGATCCTCATACCCTCTTCATGCTATATCAGGATCCACAAAGATGGTGGAAAACTTTTCTATTTGTATTTTCAATGGTAGCTATATAGTTCTGTGTCTTTATCGACCAGAGCTGGTTTTTGTTTTCTTTGGAAAAAAGATAATCTCATTTTAGGCAAGAAAAGTATGCCACATTTGGATACTAAACAATAAACCATACAAACTAGTATGAAACTGGCTTGGAAGTGTCAAAAAACAGTAACAAGCCAATCAGACTTGCACCTTTTGCCCTCTGCATTGTCTACACATACACAATAGTAGTCCTTAGCAGGCAGCAAAGTTATCTGAATTTCCTGTTTTCTATTTTCTTTGTTTACCATCTTTGTATCAACCAGTCCTTCATATTTATTTATTTATTTCCTTCTTTTTTCACTATTTACCACCAAATCCAGGTATTGCAAGTTCATTAATGATTGTTACTGGTGACAGTGTGGTTTATGCTCTCTAGCTCTCCGCTGGCAAGTGTTCAAGCAACCCAAATAGATTTTTTTTCTGTATGTAATTAATATTGCTGGCTCTACAAGCACAAATGATAAGAAACCATTAATGGAGTACTTCTTATATACTTCGTTTATGTTCTCAGTTGCAGTCATTGAGCTCCTTTGCAAAGTGGCTGCTAAGCTTGCTACACTATTTGATGCATTAATGTCATGAGCAGGTAGCCCTCAGATTTCGAAACTGCTGCTGTTCCAAGTGGTTCTGTTATAGTACTGTTCCAATAGCTAGTCATTTCAGGATGGGCCAGAAGTCAAGACCAATAAGCCTTCAAAATACAATGCTATCAGAAGCCTCGAGCTTCCATCCTGTAGAGACTGCTAACAGTGTACTGCTTGTTGTGTAATGCGAATCAAATTAAAGCAGTGAATCTCCCAGAGCAAATTCATTAAATTAAAATACATAAGTGATACATTATCCATTAGGATGAAGAACAAAATGTGAAGTAGATGGTGTTCAGTTAATACAAGTCCACTTTGGGCTTTTTATTTTTGATTCCTGACCCTGGAATTTGACTGAATGCTGTTATTTGGAGGCCTAAGCCATCTTCTGCTGAATAACTATAGCTATAGAGGAAACATACTTTATTCTGAGAGTTATTATTTTTCAGATAACAATAACAACAATAATAAGAATGATGGCATGTCAGTGCTGTAAAAAAATAAGTATCTGAGAAAACTAATTTTCCGGAAATGAGCTTTAAAAGTGCAACTTTTTTCCTCATCTACCAGTGAAGCCTTTAAAGTAAGTCTCTGATCACAGTTAGAAAAGGAATAGTCTGTTCTCTCTCACAGAAAGACGATACGTGGGATGCTTTGTTTGATGACAGCAGTGATTCTGTGGTCTGTGATGACAGTGTATTAGAGGAAGTTGATTTGTTGACTTGTGCTAGACTGCACATTCCTTTGGGTGCTAACACTTACTGCCACCACCCTTTATGCCACAATGTGACAATTAAGAATTTTTACTTTTCCCACTTCTGTTTTTTTAGCACACCTCAGAGAAGAAAACAATTATGATGAGTAGCTAACAAATAAGGAGTTAAAACAGGGAGACAGCATTACCTGTGTGAGGGGGCATCCACAGCCTGACACAGTCAGCAGAAGCAGTGCTTCATGCTGCTAGTGGTGCATGTAGCCAAAAGCATAGCATTCCTTAAGGTGATCCCCTAAGCCACTGTGCATCGGTTACTGAGTCATAGTTTGTTTAATGATTTCCTGGAGATAGAGGATTGAGAGGGATTTGTGTAGCTGAGAACAGACTTGAACCTCAATTCAAAAGATTCAGTATAAAAAGAAATGTTTACCAGTATAGCTTTAGCTGTTATTACTAAAAATATACTTATTAAATGATACTGTTCCTGGTTGCCTGGTGATGCTGGAGTTCATATTTGCATTCCTTTAGCCAGATTATTCCTTTTTGCTGTGTCACAGTAGCACTGGATTCTGTGTTTGGGCAAAACTTGCTAAATGTGATCCTGGTTTTGTGTATGTGTGTTTCTGAGAAGAAACTGTAAAAGAGAGAATGACAGAAATGAAGTTATTTTTCCCTTTCTTTGTGTGTGTTAAAATGTGAAATCTTGTTTTGGAAAACATGGAAAACCTTTTCAGGAAAAGAAGCAGAGTTTAAGTGTTGTTCAGAGCTGTTGCAAGGCATAGCACAAGAACCAATGTTTCTTTGAACACCATGGGGGTTAATCAGCAGCTGACTGACAAGTCACAGTGTTTTCCTAGCCTCTCTCCTTGTTTTCAATAGCTTGTTCATAACTGGCCCATGACAATAACATAGCACTTGTTGTGCTCTTAGCCTGCCTGCTGCCCACGGGAATGCTGCTTTGGGGGGATGCATGGGCTGCACTAGTCCATTGTTCTGGCTTGCCTGCATGTTTGTTTGCTTGTTGTTGTCCCATTCCTGTTTAAAAAAGGAGAAAGAACAGCAGCAGAAACCAAAGCAAACCCAAACTGAATTTGCTTGCTCTTGAAGGCAAGAATCTTTGCTTTTACAGGTCCTGTGAGTTTGACATCTGATGACTTGTCCCAGGATGATGTGAAGGTACAGATTTCTCCTTATACAAATAACTAAGTTCTCTTTAGGCTCAGGAACAGCAACCTCTGCTTGCCTGAGCACCTCCCAGAGCTAATAAGTAAATGACTGCTGTGTGCCAGGTAACATTTCCTGTCCATTCCTATTCTGTGGGAATACTGCATGTGTAAATGGTTGTCATTTGAAGGATTCTGTTCTGTGGTTGTGGGCCAGAAAGCTGGGCCAGAGAAGCATGCTCAACTTTTGGACCATAAATTTCGTGTTTATGGTCATTCCTAGTGCCTTCTAGCTCTTATGTTAGTCTGTGGGGACAAAACCTGTCTCCTGTGAGCATATACTTCCTACCAGAGGTGGAGTGGCTTACTGCACCTAGAGCAATCCACTTATGGTAACGTAATCCTTAACAGAGAAAAAATGTTTGCTGTAGGAAAAATGACAGTTCCCATTACCTTTTAGATGGAGCCGTCTAACAGCTTTTGGGAAGAAACTGCATTTTTGAGAAATATCTTTCTTCTTAATCAACAGTATTTGAATCTTTTATTCTGCTTTTAACTTATATGTGTCTCTTTCTAAAACCAGAAAATCTGTCTCAGCATTATTTGGTTTGTTTGTTTGTTTGTTTTTCTTAGCACCTTTTAAAGCAGGATATTGATTATTAGCACAATGAAAATAAATTAGAATGACAAACAAAATCTGGCAAAATCTGGTAGAGGTACTATCTCTTCATGCTCAGTGACTATTGATTTTTTTCAGTAACATTTGAGCTTTGGAAATGTTGAACTGCCACTTCTGTTGCATCATGATTTTGAATATGATGTCCGTAGTTATTTTTTGAAGTGCCAGTTTAAAGCAGTTTGGCCATTTCTTTGGGATTCAAGTGCTGTTAGTATTATCTTGTATCATCTCAAAATGGCATCTCTGCATTTTGCATGCATTTTGGAGATTATGCAGATAACATACATTGAGGCAGACTGTGGCAGCTCAGAAGTGTTACTAGGAATTAAAAAGTTCTGGTATTCTATCAATTGTCTCTTATTTTGAGCTTGCAGAAGGGCTGTAGTTTACTCTACTCTATAATACTTCTGTAGGCACAGGCAATTCAGGCACTGAAGATGGAGCTGTCTCAGAACTGACTTTTTCCTCCAGACTGCTGTAGTGGTTGCTCTACGTACAGCTAAATTTTGTAGGGGAAGAATAGGCTGAAATCTGGAGTTTGTGTGGAAAGTAGTTTGGTCTCTTCTTCGATGATGCATTTGAACCCGTAAGGTCATCACTACAGTTCATTTTCATTAGTCTGGGAGCGGCATGCTGTATCTGTTCCTTTTTAAAAATGGATAAAATGAAATAACTGCTGCTTGACTGTGCTTGAACTGAATTCTGCCTGAAGCACATCCTACGACTAAGTGCAAATGTAACTAGTCATCTTCAAAGATTTAGCTGATGTTTTCTCTTTCTAGCCTTTCCATGGTGCTGTGGTTCCTTGTAAAGAAATTGAAGATAATGTCCTGTTAGACGTAGGTAAGAAATAATTAACCATTTTGAATTCCAGAGAGCTATGGATGTGTGCTGTGATGCTGAACACACGCAAGGTGGTGTTTTTAAGAAGTCTGAATGTTACTGACATTGCAACATAACTTGGCAGAAGACCAAATGAATTCTATCTCTGTATGCTTCTAGTGTACATATGTAGCATATGCAAGAGTATCACGGTAGCCTCGAATTTTTTCAGCAGTGTATTAACTGTTGTATGAATTACAGTCTTGAAAACTATTTCTAATAGAATTGTGGAATCATTAGGGTAGGGAAAGACCTCTAAGATCATCTAGTCCACTGTCAACTGTCAGCCCATCACCAACATGCCCACTAACCATGTGCCTCAGTGCCACATCTCCACAGCTCTTGAATGGCTCCAGGAATGTTGACTCCACCTCCTCCCTGCACAACCTGTGCCAGTGCCTCATTGCTTGTTAAGAGAAATTTTTCCTAATGTTCAACCTGAACCTCCTCTAGTGCAATTTGAGGCCATTACTTCTTTATCTGTGGCTAGTTATCTGGGAGAAGAGTCTGACCTCAACCTCAGTATAACCTCCAATATAGTCAACATATGTGACTGTATATTAAATGAAGCACGTAGGAATGTGTAGACAGTGCAAATTGTAGAGCCATAAGGGCTCTATCATACTAAGACTGTGTATTTAGGAAATGAAACTCACAATGGAAACTTGAATGTTTTCAAGTTTGTCATAAGCTCCAATGGTGAGGTGCATACAGGATCTCGTGCAAGGCAAAGCAGGGAGGAAAAAGATGAGGACCTGAGCTCCACCTCTGGAGCTGCTGTGCCAGGCAGAGGCTTTCCTGTGATCCTGTGCTGAGCCCAAATGATGGCATTTCAGATTACCCACCTGCAGGCTCCAGTGGCTGCAAAACAAAGGGTTGCTGTGTGTTCGTGTGCATGAATGGAGAAATTATATGCTACAAATGGGCTGGCATCAACTAAGAGGCGTGTAAGGTAAGAACATGGGTTACTTTAACAATCTCTCATTAAAATCATCATCTAGCTCTCATATTTTCTAATTGTAGTTAGGTCGAACGCCTGTACTGCATCAAGTCCATAAGTCCATCATGCTGGTCTATTCTTCTATTGAAGGAATATGGGAGCTGCATAATGGTATTCATTGTAGCAGTGAAAATGTTTATCCTGCATGGTTATCCTGCCTTCAGTGATTTTGTGAATAGCACAGGATAGCAGTCCTTGTCTTGCACAAAAACACAGTGCATATGCTTGAGATGGTAGTGCCCATATGATCAAATAGTTTTCATCAAAGAAGACCAAAGTGTTGGACTGGATCTCGGCATAGGAGGGAGTGGAACCATTGGGGAGTGATTATGGTTTACTAATCTGAAGCCACATCAGCTCCAGTCTCAGCTCTAGTTACACCATCTGGAGAGGGCAGAAGATAGCTGAAAATCTGGCAGAGTAGAAATTCTCCACCCTGAAATCTTAGCTGATAGATCTCTTTCTTACCCTTAAATGCCTTTTCCTTCTAAGGCATCATTTGCACAGGGTGGGATGTGACAGCTGGAACAGGAGCCAGGCCCTCTGGCATCAGACCAGCTCTCACTCTCCTCTTGGATGCTTGAATGGGAGCTGCAGGCAAATCCTGGGTCCTCTGCAGAAAGCAAGCAAGAGCCTTTGGCCATGGTTCGTACAGCTAGTGAGGAGTGGAGAAATGTAGATTCTCAAAGGATCTTTTGGTTGAAAAAAATAATATGTGCACACAACTTGGATCAAGATTTACGTGTCTAAAATTTGATATATTACTTAGGTCTCTTATGTACGTGTGAAATTCAATTATAAATATGTAGGTGAATGTGTTCATATGTATCTCTATGTATGGATGTGTACATGTAGATCTTTTGTCCTTAGCATATGCTCAGTTTATACTAAACTCAGAAGGCTTACCTGTTGTACCTCCCATCTGAAAATGAACCTATCTTCAGTTTTTTTGTGTGTTTTTTTTCTAAATTTTGATTACCTTTTAGTATACTTAAGAGATTGACTTTTATGTGGTGAACCTTCAGTAGTCTGTTCTCCTTGTTTTAGAAGTAAATTGGCATAGATGAAAATGTGCTCATCTCACATGAGGACTGGAGCATGGGCCTCATTGCTGGCTATGTCTTGTGCTTTCCTCACCTATCTTCTATCAGAGTACTGAGCTTGGCTGAAATGCTTACAGTATAGACATATGGTGAGATTTTGCTATTGACATCAGCAGAACCTGGAGGGCTTCCAGTCTGCACTGTGTGTGAGAGCTGATGAGTTTGGAGTGCAAACTGGAGAGTAAAGGGGCTGCCAGGAGTGCACTAAAAGGTGCAGGAAGGAAGGGACAAAGAAGTGTGTGGAAGTAGGGTTTGATGACAACCGAAAATGTATAAGTTGGCTAATGCTGTTTTTATTGGTTTGTTTGAATATAAAAAACTGTATAATCCTTTAACCTGACTCACATAACCATACTGCTAAATTTTATAGTTTTATTACTCCGGGTTGTTTTGAATTACTATTTAAAAACTTGTTTGCTTGGCATTGTTGTTAAATGGCAGCATGTTTGTCAGGAAGGGCACACAGCGGGGAATAAGCAACGAAATGGAAGTGGTTGTCAGTGGGGGAGAGGAAGCGGGAAAACAGCTAAGGGGGCTGAGTAAAGAAGAATGAATAGAAACAAGCAAACTCTGGAATCTTACTGGGAAGTTGGATGTGTAAATCAAAGAGGACTTCTAAAAGCAAGAACACCAGCACTCTTTGAATAAATGTGAGTTTGTCTGCTGCTTCTCTCTGCTTTTCCCATATGGTTTGAGAAGCCCTTTCCAAAGATCCAGGAAGGGTTCCCTGGTTCCTGCTGCCTATTTTCTTCCCCACCTTTCCCTTTCAAGCATAACTGCTGTGGCCCTTTCCCAACATCCAACAAACTTTTGGGGGTATATCTCAGGGGTGCTTGCAGAAGTTGGTAGGGTACTGATAGGGTTCCAGCTTGTTCCTTGTCTTCATCTTTGGTTTGGGACTTGGCTGCCTCAGGCAATGTTCAAGTTTCAGAGTTCAGTTTTGATAATAGCTCCCCTTTGCCTTTGCTGCACAAGAGGCTCCAGTCATCCTAGGTGGAAGGTATACTCAGTGGTTCCATGTTGGTGGGTGCTGGGGAGGAAGGCTGCATATGGGAAGTGACATGATGTCTCAGATGGGGGAATGGAACCAAACTGTGAGCACAAGAGGATGCTAGAGCAGGGTGAACAGTGGATTACACACAGACTGTTGAATTCAATGCCAGTGTCACACCTGCCAATCTTCTTCCCTCTTTCTACTGGAAGTTGTTAGAGATCTGTTTTGTGTTTAGAAGGAAAAAAGAAAGAAAAAAAAAAAAAGAAAAAAAACCACTTTTTTTCAGTGAAAGAAGACACAAAGAAGACACACTGGAAAGATTGAGAGAGGAGAAACAATATCCAGTTGGGGAGAGTGAATGAAATAAACAAAAAGGGAAGCAAGAAAAATAGAAGTTTTTTTCTCTTTCAATGTTAAGCATATGTGTTACTGCCAACCATTGTCATCTTCAAGAGTAAGCAGCCCTGTTCACTTTGGAATAGACTCTAGGAGGTGGCAGCTGAATGCTGTTACTACTGGGCATGTGACGATGTTAGCAGGGCAAGTGTTTTTAAACAGTTATAATTCCTTCCTGTTTTTCATAGCTAGTTTGGAAAGAGGATATTCTTACTGCCATTTACAAAGCTGCAAAGATTTCTTTTTTCCAACAAGAAAAATCTAAGCTTCTAGTTTTTCTTCCAAGAAAATATAACTTCAGGAAGGCAGGAAAATTTTTCAAAATATTTTTCCTGCTCTTGCAGTTACAGTGTCAGTGACCTACTGGTGTCTGTCTAATCTATTCTGTTTGCTCTGCTAGCAAAAGTGAAAAAGTTCTGCAAGCAAGCCAGGTTTTTCACTTTGGGAGATAGAAATACCGATGCCAAGTTTTTGGCAGTTCTGTGTATGTGGCCAGGCAGCTTCGAAACATTTTTAGTAGAATCTGTCCTTTGATTTTCATGGTTCCTCAGAAATCCCAGTCTAACCACAGATCGGTTTAAGGAACAGAACATAACAAACTTCTTCTCTGTGGAAACCAGTAGGACGGCACTGTAATCTTTAGAGAGTCTGGTTTTAATGTTGCTTTTTTGTTCTTTTTTAAATTAGATTTCCTTACCATGATTCGTAAGACTTAAAAGTTTGTTTTTCATAAATACAAAGAAATCGCAGCCTTTCTATCTGGAGCCCTGCTTTTATACAGCTTTTATTAGGTCTTCAAAATGCTTAGTTCTACTGACTCAGGTTAGATATTTCAGTTCTGTTTTTGTTTTTTATTTATTTGCTTGTTTGATTCTCTATCTTTTTATCATTTGCTTTTAGGTTTTAGCATGAGATGAGGACACTGCAATATTAAACTGATTGGAGATGTGCTGAAAAATTCAGGAGTATTGGTTTGCAGTAAAAGGAGACTCTATACATAAAACTCATTCTTACTGGAAAAGTAGTTGGTTTGAAAGTTGTGAAGAAAAATGCTATCTGAAGAAAACTGCAGAGTTAGTACTGCATCTGTCTTATAATGACTTTGTGGGGCTTTTTTCGCTGTGAAAAACCTTTGCATAGTTCCTTGTATCTTGGGGAAGAGAGGCTTAACTTGGGGCTGGTACTCCTTCAGAAACAACCTTTCAGCAAGATGTGGTTGGTTCTTGTTTATTTCAGTAGATAAAGCATTTTCCTGCTTGTTTGAACTTGAACACTGAAGATAGCTGAATAGTTGAGACTTCAGAAGTTGTGGGAAGTAAAGTCTTCCTGGGATGTGAGCCTGAAGTAAGCTTAATTAATAAGCTGTGGAGAAATCTGGAAGAAGCAGCATTAAATGTTGAAACAAGCTTGCTCTTATTTCTTTGAGTTTCCTCCACTCTTGACTTTCTGAGACATTGTAATTCAAGTT